ACGTGTTTTCAAAATTGGAAACGCGGCCAGAAACTTGTTTCCAAAATTGAAAACGCGACTTTTGGTTTTTGAAACAAATTGAATAAATACTTTGAAAATATAGGGATTTGTTTGTCGTTTTCAATAAGTTTTAAAACCTAATTATTATGCATTAATACAATCTTTTTCTCTAATCATCACCGTAACCTACAAAGGTAGAAGAATCGAAGAGATAACAAAGGTATTTTTTTCCAATTACAGTAGATTTGTTATTAATTATTGAAATCTTGAAGTCGTTACGTAAACGAAGTGTTTTTTATTCGAGTCGGATTGGATTTGTGTTGTTTCAAATATTTTAAAACCATTGATATATTTTGTTTCATGTTATATATATACACGTTTCCAAAACGTTTTCGTTTCCTTTTTTTTCTTTAAAATCGTTTCTGCGTTTTCTAACGTTTCGTTTCCACGTTTCCGTTTTCGATTTTATGCAGTTTTTATGCATTTGGTTTTTTCGTAAAAAAATAGTGCTAATTAGTCTCTTTTAATACATTTCTAATGTTTTATAAAGAAAACTGACTAAGAAATCAACTAATTATATGATTTGAATTGATTAAAATGTAAATGAAATTATCTTTTGTTGCTGATTTGAAGAATATTGGGACTTAGCTGAGAACCTAACCTTCTAGAAGAGGGCCATCATCATGCATGAGGTGAGTGATTGTATACCAATACATTATAAAATTGAAATTCAACAACTCTCTCTTTTTCGTTTTTTTCCATCTTTTCAATAAACCATTCATCTTTTTCATTTCTTCTAAAATTTTCCACCTAACTTACCAAATTTCACAACTTAGTTCAACTTTGTATTTAACATACGGGAACGCATAATTAAATTTAATCACTGATATGTATTCCATTGAATTCAACTGTTTTCTGACGTAAAAATCACAAACCATGTTACAAAAAAATCAGTGTTATAATATTCTGTGAAAGTATTTATATATAACTAGATGAAAGACCCGCATATATACCAGTTTGTGATAAACTATTTTATAACCTGTGATAAAATATTTTATGAGCCGTGAAA